ACTGTACTAGGGCGTATCTTGGGGTGGCATAGTTGCCCCATCGGGAGAAATTGACTGTACTAGGGCATATCTTGGGGTGGCATAGTTGCCACATCGGGAGAAATTGACTGTACTAGGGCATATCTTGGGGTGGCATAGTTGCCCCATCGGGAGAAATTGACTGTACTAGGGCATATCTCGAGGTGGTAGTACATTTAGCTTCAATATGGGAGGAATAGTCCTCCTTACCATACTCTTTTCAGTTGGTTTCCACGAGTCGCATCATCTGCGGCTGTTAAGACAATATGATAGATTGGGAGCTCATCCGGTATGCTACTAATACGGATAATAAGCCTACTCCTGGTTATGCCTTCAATGATCTCATTACCAACATCAGAGAGAATCCCCAAGGGGTCCCTGATGTGGCGGCCTACTTGGCTGAGTGTGTAGCTGGTGATCACGCTCATGTAAAACTGAAAGCATTGTTATGCATGAAACACTTGGCGAATAGAGTGCCTCCCTTCCGCATACAATTGCGATCCTATGCTGCTGTTATAGAGCAAGCTACTCAATTCACTGGGCCTCCTAGTCCTACATATGGTGACGAACCCTACCGTTTAGTTCGGGATACTGCTACCGCTGTCTGGGACATAACGTTCAATCAGGTGATACAGTCTATGATGGTTCACTCTCTGTGGTTAGTTGCTGTCATATCTCAGGGGGACGATATCGATAATGCCACACAGTCTTTACAGAAGAGGATTCAAGGTTTCGGGTCAGCCCCCACTGGAAACACCAACGGCCCATCAGCAGCCAGTACAGTTCTACATGGTGCAGCCGACTATGTTGGAGATGCTATTTATGTAGTAAATCGAGAGTGATTCCACTCGTCGCCTAGCTGTTTCTACTCCGATTTTTCGTTTCCGTCATCAATGTCCGCCATTTTCAGGACGTCGTGCTGGACTATCGAGAGAAGGGAGCTGTAGGCACCCTGCGGGATGCAACCCTTGATGCTGCTGATCTAGTAGCAGACGGCTTGGAGACAGCAGCTGGATGGATGCGGGACATGTTGGCTGGTAGTCCTCCTCCTCCACCACCTCCTCGTGCTCTTACTGGAGGTCCGGCTAACATAACTCTGCCACCCAACATGGCAATTTGTGATCAGCAGCCTATAACCTCGACTGGTGGCTTTCTGGAGCAGTATAGACAGCAAAATGGCCGTCAATTCGCGACGATGCTGGAACGTAGTGGCGAAGATACCGAAAGCGAATCTCCCCCTTCCAGTGGTAGCGGTCCTAGAGCACTGGGCCCCGGCATTGATGTCATGATCGATGGTCGAGGTCCTGCCAATGTTATTTCGATGGATCGTACTCTCAATCCTCCCCTCATCGTGGTACGGTTGACCAAGAGTGGATCTAGAGTAGTTGTTGACGAGGAGAAGTGCCATGTAATGAATGATATAGCTCCGGCAGAGATAGGTAGTTCGAGTGCGGCCAACTCCGAGGATCTACTCGATGTGGGGGCTGATGACAAGTCTATCGAAGGTGTCGTTGGGAATGGATTCAAGGCAGTTCCCATGGTGGAAATGACTCCTGCTGGTAAACTCTTGGACAAGGCTCATACTATCAGCAGTGAAGGAAGAGATGATGCAGCAGGGGGCAGTGAAGTGAACACTCCTGCAGCTACTGCCGTGTCTGGTGGTAGTGATGATCTTCTTGGGCTACAGGATGACCATGAGGAATTATTCCACGATCCTACGCTTAACGCATCTCTGAAAAAAGCAGAGGCCAATATTTAACATATAATTGAATACCTCTTCCCGTAATATACTACCATCATCACAATAGTATCAGCGATAGCCATTATGTTTCTATACTTCTTGTAGTCATCCTTGCATTCAGTCGGCATACATCGTTACCCGCTCTATCAGTGCAACAGTGTTCACCTCTTCTCATTATGTCCGGGGCAGCTGTGTTCAAGCGTGTCCCACTTGCCGCTAAGGGCGTGAAGGTCTATCAGGTAGGTACAGTAGTTGATAGTGAACTTCATAAAACTGACGGCTCTATAGGTATCATCAGCAACTTACCGTGTTGGAGCTGCCTTGAGTATGGACCTATCCGTAACCAAAAAGCCTCTTAATCAGGCATTGGATGCTGCTATTCATAAACCACAGTTTTTACAAGTTGACACTGTGAAAGGTGATAATGCATGGGCCTACAACGCTCTGTTACCATCTCTATCAGGAATCCCGGTGGACACATCCCTAGGTCAGAGCTCGCTAGTTGATCCGTACCTTTCTCGGTATATTGCCGATTTGAATGTTCTCTACTTCGGCGCACCCGTGAAGTGATGGTATATGATGAGTAATGTTTCGCAGTAGATGATAGTCGCTACTAATACTACTCAACTTGTTCATCTTTAGTTAGTCATCTCCGAATGCTGGGTGATCTAGTTGCGGAATCTAGGGTATGATTCTCTTCTGAGCTCTCATCGACGCTCGTCATCATCATAGGGAGCCTGCTGTTGCGGGATCAGTAGACTCTTTTACATAGCCTCTCCTTCACCCCCTCCGATATGCTTCGATGTAACACTTTGGAGAAGCAGAAGGGAGAAATACACGAAGAAATAATCGAGTTCCGGTAGAGCTCTGCTCATGGAGACGCTGTATCGTGCAGATATGACACTTGCTTGCTGGATGCTGACGACTGAGTGGATTATGATGTTGAGGAGCCAGATGAGGTCGATAGAGTGGGGGGAGGGGTGGTTATCATCGAACAGGTCCCTCTAGGGTAACGGTAACTAGGCGGAGATGAGGGTCTTATCATGAATAATTATCCCACCTGTGTTAGGCTTCTGCTTGCATTCATGTTTTTTGATCCAAGCAATCTCGTGTTATAGATCGCGCTACCACGCCTTGCTCCCTTCATGATACTCTCGTGGTGCTCCAAGAGTGTAACACACTCGGGATCATGAAAATCGTGTATTCTCTCTATAGCCTCATATATTCATCAAGCTGCTCGTCAAATGGAGAACCGTATAGGAGTAGTTGTTCAACACAATTCTAGGTCGCTAGATCTGCTGTTGGTCATATACATCATCAGGAGATGGGATTTGCGTATCGGTCTACCTTGCTCATGTCTCACTATTTAATTCCTGGTATTAGATTCTGCCAGACCCGTTTTTTCATATTTGATCATGAATATTAGAGCTATCAACCGAGTTCTCGGCCGGTTTAACATCCCAGCGCATCGCAATGCCTCTTCGCGAGCATTTGCAACCGTTGTAACTCCTGCTAATGAAATCGACAAAGGGTCTATTATAAAGCAGAGATGGAAAGAAGACGGTCCTGCTGAGTACTGGGAAATCAATAACGTTAGGCAAGTGAAACAAGGCAGACAGGCAGCGCATGTCTCGGTAAATCCTCATCACTCGTTCCCACTATGATGTACCTATGCTCCTCTTGTTATCAGCTCGAGTATACTAATCTGACTACGAACAAGCCAGAGAGGTGGAAGGGCAGTACCACAGTAAAGTTCAATGGTACTGGATTTGCCGTCTTATGATGTGATTCATCATGACAAGCTCAGTTGTGAAGATTGAGAAGCAAGCTTGCCAGATCCTGTATTGGGATAATGACGAGAAGGTTTTCTTCGTCCAAGATGATCAGTTTAATCAACAAGAATTACCCCAGAGATATGTCAAGGAGGCGAGCAAATTATTGAAAAGTAGTACCACGCTCTGATGGACAAGCTCGGTTATGATTGTACCTTAGATGGTGATCACGTAACACTGTGGCTCGATGATGATGAGGTTGTGAAGGTAAGTGTACCAGCAGCAGTTTTAGAGGGTGCCAATCGATGATGCATTATAACACATGATGATGATAGTTTCAGTCACTGCTCTGACTATCCTCTTGAGTACCATACTTCAATGGGGAGGGTGGTTACTTGTGCTAGTATTCCAACTCGTAAACTCGGGGTAGCATCTCAGGCTTACCCTCTCGAAGGTTCGCATCCCTATCATGTCCAATCGTGACCGTTTCTTCCCAACTCATGAAGAGCCCGAAGATGACGACGATGTCGATGCTGGAAGCGAAGCCATGGAGGATGATAGAGTGAGAATAGTGAGGTAGGGATGATCCTGAATATGTTGTGCATCAGATTAGTGATGGTGTTGAAGATGCTGTGGAGGATGAAGAAGAAGGAGAGGGCGAGGATTTGATGGACAAGTATAGTATTGCATCATATGTTACTGGATGTTGTTGTTATCATTACTTAACAGCATGGAGGAGGATTATCGTGCTATACCTGAATTGGATCGATATGATCCCAGAATGCTGGATGAGCAGGAGTATGGTGATGATGCTGGTGCTAGGAGGCGTGCCGAGAGGGAATTACGAGAGAGGGATAGAGGACAGAGTGATTTGATAATTATCCTATATCGTCCTCATCATGGTAGTTCAGGACGCAGGATGCCTGGTGCGGTGTTTGGTGAAGACAGCTCTGACAGTGAGGATGATGATGACCGTATGGGGGCCTATGAGAGGAAGAGGCGTCGATTGGAGAGGTTAAGGAGGGCTGCACAGGCAGAGGTATGCTGGAATACATGGGAGGACTTTAGTCTTATGCATGGGTAACAGGACGATGATGCTGCTATGGATGAGGAGTTTGATGCTGATCTTATCGATCTTAATAATGAGGAAGTTGGACCGGATACTGACCTCTCACCGTAATGACGGGAAATCCTGACGGATTTCAGGGTTTCATACCAGGGATTCCCGTTTGGGCAAGAAGATTATTGCCAATTTTAGCAAGTTCTTACAGACCTTCATAGACCCAACGGAGGATGCGAACGAACCCTACTATTCTGAGAAGGCGAGACTGTGGATTTTAGCAGGAGGATAGACCTCTACGATCTTGGTGGTAATTTATTAGATCCACCATATGTGCGCCGATGGCAAGACATCCTTCACAGTGTCCTTCCATCCACATCTGGCTGACTGGTAGTCCGACGCCTCATCATCATCATCAGATGGTACTCTCACCAATCTGACCACAGGTCCCCCTTCATGGCACAATGGTTATGTGATCGTCCCCATCATATACTCAAGCTACTGCAGGTATCAGCCACTGAATTCACTAAGAAGAAGTATAAGGAACTGTAATGAGAAGTCTGCTTGCTGATCATTGACAATGATTCATTCTCTGAGTATGAGGTTAGGTTCGCCAACGATCGTCATCGTGAGATCAATGTACGCATAGTCAGCTTCCCAGTTGTCGACCTTATAAGGAATCTTCGAGCATTTCACATCAACAAGTTAGTTAATGTTGTTGGTAATCATTGTAGTTGTGCCATTGAGATATATTCAGGCATCTATTCGAGTCTATCAGGTGTTGTTACCCGTCGTTCTGTGTTATTACCTAAGCTCCGCGTACTCTACCTTACTTGTATGAATTGCCAATTCCTATGTGGGCCTTTCGATCTTTCTGCAAGCGAAGAGAGTGAGCCTATGGGTCTTACCGCACTCGGATGCAGTGTTCTTAGGCGGGACTAGCTTCAGGCCAGGTCATTGTCCGGAATGTCAGAATACCGGACCTTATGCGGTTAACCGTGAGGAAACTGTATACAAAAACCATCAGGTCATGAAGCTCGGACGGTGGTGCATTGTAATTAGTGCTGTAGGTCATTACACTACAAGAAGCGCCTGGGTCGGTATTACCTGGCCGTATGCCAAGGAGTGTCGAGGTCATACTGAGTGATGATTTGGTCGATAGTGTTAGGCCAGGTGATCAGTGTTCTATTGTTGGAACCTATCATGCTAGGTCAGCAACATCATTCCTTTTCTGGCTTCATCAGCTAGTTACCATAGATACGACAGTGCAGGGAATGTGAGGGCAGGGTTCCCAGTATTCAAATGTGCTATTGATGCTAATTCTATTGTAAGACAGAATGAGATGAAGATAGAGAGTGTTCGAGACGAGGATAAGAGAGAGTACCATTACTAAATACTCTCTGGCATTACAGCTTCTTAGGATATTCGCGCTGTCGAAAGATCCGCATGTCAGAGAGCGCATAATTGCCTCGATCGCCCCATCCGTCTATGGTGAGACCAATGGACTCGAACACAGTCTGGTTGATCATACGTGTCACATTCAGGTGCTACTACGGTGAAGACAGCACTGGCTATGGCCCTCTTCGGTGGTAGAGAGAAAGTAGCACAAGGTAGACATAGGATAAGGGGAGATATCAACGTAGCTAATGGTCGGTAAGCGATTAAGAGAGTGTGAGCATTTGTGTTAGGTACTTATCCTTGGTGACCCGGTGAGCAGTAGAGGCTACAATGTTGGAGTTACTTGGAACCAATTTTCAGGGCCTTGCCAAGTCTCAATGCTTGAAATTCGTTAATAAACTATTCCAGCGTTCAGTGTACGTGGTGATGACAACATTATAACAAAGTCGCACATATGTAGCCGTCATTTTCTTCTACAGATATACCACGGGTAAGGGAGCTAGTGCTGTTGGCTTGACGGCATCAGTTCGTAAGGATTACCAGACTGGGGAGTATACACTTGAGGGCGGTGCACTGGTACTGGAGTCACCACTATTGCTCTAGTCAACGCGATTGAGAGCTTGTTGTTATGGAGTAGAACTTGGCAGGTGCTAGCTGACAGTGGTATATGCCTGATCGATGAGTTTGATAAGATGAATGATGCTGATCGTACCTCCATCCATGAGGCTATGGAGCAGCAGAGTATATCTATATCTAAAGCGGGTATTGTGGCATCCCTCTCAGCCAAGTGCTCAGTCGTAGCAGCTGCTAACCCTGTCGGAGGTCCGTACAACTGTTGAGCTATTCCCCCAATTCATTCGTCCTATTTATAGGTCGATATAACCCTAGTCTTACCTTCACTGACAATGTAGATCTCACGGACCCCATCTTATCCCGTTTCGATGCTCTATGCGTGATACGAGATGAGATAGATCTATTCCAAGATGAGCGTCTGGCTGACTTTGTCGTCTGTACCCATATGCAAAACCACCCTCGTGAGCCTAACAACAACGTGAGGCCTCGGAACCAGGAGATGGAAGCGCTATACGAACCCATCGATCAAGACCTTCTCAGGAAATATATCCTCTATGCAAGGTAGGGCGGTCATCATGCATACTGGGAGCAATTACGACTCATCTGATACTGCTGTTGCTGTATAGGACGAGCGTCTTCCCCAAGATATCAGACGTTGATGCGGACAAGTTGGCTAA